AAGTTGGTTGGAGTCTAATTAGGCGTTTCTGGCTATAGCTCAAGTAAGCTGGATCCGAACGCTCCTGAACTTGTTGGGGTAGTATTGGTGGGCCATGACCACTGCGCTAGCTCAAGAGTGGGAAGCCTCCCAAGATCTTCGGCGGCTTGCCCAGAAGCTACAGCTAGTCCCTTGGTACTCCATATAACTGTATGCACATGGATTGATGTATTGTGTCAAGGCGTCCTTGTCTGTTTGACTTTCATTGGATTCCAGGTGCAGGTTACTGGTGTGGGGACTACGAGGGAGAGCCTTGCAACCAATGAGGCGGTTCTGACACCCGCGTTGAAGCATCTAGGCATGAGGCCAAGTGTTCAGACGTGCATGTTGCACGTGAAGTCCCTTTATGAGCTGATGGATCTTCCAATCCCCGGCACCTTGACTAGAATGATATATTCTTGGCAGCCAAGCAAGTCTTGAACTAGCAGATTCTAGTAGCTAGTACGGTACCATTGTTGTGCTGTCTAAGGTGCCAGTGTCTACACCCAAGCTTGGGCACTCTGCCGCGTGATCTCTCTGTTCAACATGATAGTGCGGAGGGGGCATGTACCGAGGGAGGCAGCTGTGAGAAAAATGATGTCCTCGGTGGGGCTGGAATTGCAACCTAATATGGATGAAGGGGAGAATGAAGAGGATCGCCTGGATCCCGAGGATGCTGAGGATGATATGATGTCCGAGGCAGCGGAATCTGAAGACTTTACAGATGACGATGAGATGAGTGCTGCAGAAGACTGTAGCATGGCTTAATTGTCAAGCATCTACGTATAACTTTAAAAGATGTTTCTTAACACGTGGCCCATGGGGTTTAGGGTTTATAGGGCTTATAGGGTTTATAGGGTTTGTAGGGTTCATAGGGTTTATAGGGTTTATAGGAGATATATAGGCTTTATATAGGCTTTAATTTATATAGGCTTTATAGGGTTCATAGGGCTTACGGGGTTTATAGGGTTATATAGGGTTTATAGGGTATATGGGGTTTATAGATATATGAGGTTTAGGAATATATGGCTTCCTACCTGTACCCTTCGCGATGCTGAAGACAATGTGGCGGCGAAGCCTGAGGACAGCTTTGCTTGGGTTTAGTGCTGGGTGATTCCATGGAGATGCTGTGTGGGCTTAAGAATAGGAGGCGAGCGCTGCTTCGTCAACACCTGTGGTGAAGGCTACCTTGAAGCCAACGATTCCGACCCCGCCAACCTTGATTGCACCAACCTGCACGTCAACACCTAGCCCAACCCCGGAGGCTACTCCCAGGTCTGAGGTAAATTTGTCGTTGCCGCCTACACCGGCTACCAAAGGCCTGCATGTGAAGTTTTGCAGTGGCACCCTGAAGATCTTTATAGTACGTTATAGCAGGTATTACACCAGCGACGATTACGCCTCCTAGGCCTGCAGTGGCTGCTGATGTTCCTTGTGGAATGCGTGAGGTAGCTTGATTAATGAATGTTGCGAGCAATGATATTGCACAACCTAGTTCCCCAAGCTTAGGCCAAAGGACTCGAGTTGCTGAATAGCTTGAAGAAGTATGCGGAGCTACTTGAGCTTCAGAAGCAACTTCGAGAACTAGAGCTATCTCAGCAGAGCTGCCCACCGATGCCCATTTACACTGGATGAAGCTCAGCCTGAAATTAACCCTATAATAGTATGAGGTACCTCATAAATATAAACCCTACGTATATATCTAAAAATATAAACCGTATATAAGGCTATCCTGGATATATAGTTATATTCCCTATAAACCCTAAAGCTTGCGAACCTATCCCCAACCTTACCCGTGCAACTCTGCTTCCCAGGCCTGGACAATGTGGACACGGCGCCCATGGATATGGATGCTATGGAGGCCGCGTTTCCTTCGGCAACTTTGGTGATATCAGCTAGACAAAGCTAAGCCTAGAAGCCCTTCACCACTCCCATGTGCCCCTTAATAGCCTAGGTACTCTTGAGGAAAGGCATGCGAGATGGGTGGCAGGCAGAAACCTGCAAGGATGTTACAGTACTGGCTAGCCAGGAAGCAAGCAGTGCCATTGCAGTTACGCGAGAAATGCCTACACCGGCTGTTTCCGTCATGGCTAGCGAAGAAGTGCTTACCCCAGCTGTTTCCATCATGGCTACCCAAGAAGTGCCTACCCCAGCTGTTTCCATCGTGGCTAGCAAAGAAGTGCCCACCCCAGCTGTTTCCGTCATGGCTAGCAAAGAAGTGCCTACCCCAGCTGTTTCCATCGCGATTACCCAAGAAGTGCCTGCCCCAGTGGCCCTACAGACACGGGTTCTGGAAAGCCTTCCCTCCCCTTTGGATCCAACCATGGCACTTACCCCGTCTGAATCCTCAAGGCCTGAAGTGGTTTCCGAGGCTGCTGTGTCTACCCTCGCAACAAACCCGGCTGAACCTAAGCAGTTGTCACCTGCTGCTCGGACTAAGCTACTTTTGGCGCAGTCCATGGCAAGCCGCAGGGCAAAGGCTAAGCAAGCACTCCCCGAAGAGCCCCTCCCCACGCCAGCTCGCAGCAATTCACTTCCTCCAGATGTTAAGGTGTTGAGCCCGAAGCCAGACCCAACTGGCCGTGTAGCTGGCACTGAAAAGGAGGTGCAAGCTATTGCTGATCGATTGAGTGATGAGGATGATGCAGTGCAAGATGACGTGGCCACGAAGCACTACTCAGACACGGAGTGGACGTACGAGCATGATGATGAAAGTGAAGAGGAGGTGGAAATGGTGGAGGGTGAAATGGATGAGATGGGTGATGATGAGCCCAGGTGCGAGGATGAGGATAGGTCTGATGAGTGCTCCTGCGATGATGCGCGTGAGAGTGATTATGAGCCGGAGGAAATGGAGACGCTTATGTTTCAGCGTGGCGTAGTGGAGGAGGAGGTTACAGAAGTGGGTGTGCATCCCAAAGAGGGGGGTGCCTGGCTTGCTGCAGATGAGGTGGCACGCAGGTTTGGTCGGCCTGCTCATTGGGGGCAGAGGGCTATTGACTTTTTGAACCCTGATGTGCAGCAGGTGCCAAAGCCCAGGGGCAGAAAGGCCAAGAAGGGCAAGGGATCCAAAAAATCCAAGGGGTCCAAGGGAGCCAAGGTGGATGATGAGGAGGAGTTTGAGGCCAGTGCGCCAGCGTGCGCTGAACCATCAAGCTCTAGGAAGCGTGCAGCCTCCAAGCCTGGACCCAAGCCCAAGAAGATGAAGGTTGCCCCAACACGTGATTCCAGCCCTGAGCCTGAGCACAAGGTGAAGAGGAAAGTGATCCAGGGTTCCGCAAAGGCCAAAACTGTGCCAAAAGCCAAGCGTGCAGCGAAGGCCAAGTGTGCCCCAAAGAGCGCGGCCAAGGCAAAGGCCAAGAGCCCCAAGCCCAAGAGTGCCCCAAAAGCCAACCCGAAGACCAAGCCTGCGAATGGCAAAGCCAAAGGTGATGATGAGTATAAAGACCGGATGAGTCGCAAGAGCGGCGCATATCACGCGGCATTCAAGCTCGCCCGCAGCCAGGGAAAGACGGAGGAGGATTGCAGGGCACTGGCCCGGGAGGTCACTAAGCTAAAGCTTAATTTATTGCCCCATATTGCGCTATAGAAGCCCGAAACCTTGCCAAACGCCTTTCAACTGAGCCACCCTGAAGCTAACTTAATCCTTGCAATTCTTTCATCTGAGGCTTACAAGTTCATGGACTGAGCTCCCACCAAGTGGAAGCTTCGAATCAGCTTCTGAGTTGATTGATAGTGCAATATTGCCCTTCTGTTTGGCGCATAGGCTAGACAACGTCATACCTGTACTGGGTAGACTTACCCCTGGAGCTTTTGATGCCAGATAGATGGGCTTGAATTATCCATTACGAACCTTGCATTTCAAGCTGTGACGCAGGGCCTCTAGAGCTCTACGCGGATTGTGTGTTAACACTTCCCTGCGTATTTGCCGTGCATTTGGCTGGGGATCAATGTCAAGTGCCAGCGTCAAATGATTTTGCTTGGCAGTGTCTACACTGAGCTTTGGGGGTATGTGCCACATATAGCTCACACATGCTCCTGCCCTTCGCAGGTGCTCTTTTCGACCCCCCGGACGCGAGAACAGCTTCTGGGAGTCTGGCTGGCTGAGTTCTTTTGCCCACATGCTGCGATTATAGATTTATAAGTATACTAGCTCCCCTAAAATAATGGCCCCTATATAACTGCCCCCAAGGAGTTTAGACTGTATAGATCGGATCATATGTTTATCGAGATGTGTGTGCGGTCCTCTCATCTCTCGACACACGCTGTTGCCTCTCCCTGCCTCAGAGTTGGGGTTCGCAGGATAGAGTTGGGCTTAGAGGTGACAGTCTAGGATAGAATTGGGCTTAGAGGTGACAGTCTAGATTACCCATAAGGTTTGCATGTGCAGAGTTGATACGGGGTCAGCTATGTGTATCTACATGTCCAAAAGCCTAGCTAGCGATGCGTATCTACAGGCCCAATTATCTAGCACTATAACTATATAGGGCTCTATAGGAGGACTAGCCCAACTGCTGCCGGACTTGTTTCCCCGGGAACTGGGTGCCTTGGTTTCACTAGTGTGCTGTGGTTGTATTAATTGTGTAGATGGAACTACGAAAATTTTGTTGCTAGTCTCTGGGCCTTGCTTCAAGGTGTGCCATTTCAAATGGGGCCTGAGAACCTCATCCCTGGCCTCATCCAAGTTCAAGCTCCAAAGGCGCCGCAGTGGGAAATTAATGTGTAAGGGCCGTAGCTGTTGTGCTATATGTACTAGTATATACATTATAGTACTAGGGGACCCCAAGGAAAATTGCCAGCCGGGGAGACCTAGGATACCTGATTACACCCCAAGTGCCTTCCCTTTAACAACCCTAGCAATGTTAACCTTCACGCCCAGGTTTTCATTGCCTGCGCAACTTCTCCAAATTATGTTTGTGGGTGGCGAGAGCCATGTCTGATGCCGGATCTAGATTGATGGTGTGCATACATGATTCGAAGCCGAGGTCTTGTTAATTCTCTGGTCTACAGACATCAGCCCACGGTACCATGTAGTGGACCTCTTCAGCGGGGTTGGGCAAATTTCTCAGTGCTACAGACGGCATGGCCTAGCGGCTGTAGAGTATGATTTCCTGGTCAGCAACAGCATGGACTTTGTTTCAGCTGCTGGCTTCGGGTTCCTTACCAGAATTAGGCTTATATATAGGGCTAATTAGCTAGGACAATGGTCTCTCAAGGTGCTTTGCTAGCTAGGCGATATGTCCTAGATTATTTAATATATATATATATAGATTAATAATAATCTATATCTACATATAATATAATGGGGTGCCTGGGTGTCTGGCGTACGAGAGACCATTGTCCTATTAGGGGTAGTTAAGGGTGCAGGGTGTACCAAATATGCTTCCCTCACGATTCCTGTTGCTACATTGTTGGGGAGAATGCCTAGCTAGGCTTTTATCCTTTGGGGGGCCCCTAGAATAATTATATATCCCTTAGAAAGACTTTGCTAGGTAGACCCTTTCCCTCCTACTTCTGCCGCCCAGGTTAGCTATATACGCCGTATTATGTTTGGTCCCCTTTGGGCTACTCATTGGGGGGCCGGACTGCTCCTCCTGGACTGTGGTGAGCCGAGGGACATCCCTCAGAACAATCGTCAATCCTGGCGGCAATGTGAATTTGCAGTGGGTCAGAGACAACAATCTCACTGTCAGTCGGTTCCTGGCTTGTATTTTGCATTGTAGAACTTTGGAAGATATCTACTCATGTGTACATCTCAGGCTGACACTTCTTCTCATGTTGGCTACAGCGATGCATTGCCTGTGGGTTTTGGAACAGCCATCCTCCTCCCAATCTGTATTTGCTCGTCACTGGAGATTCGAGAAATTCTGTAATCATACAGCCTCGGCAACTTGCTTGCATTCTCCTTGGCGTAGCCATACCCCCAAATTATGTAATATTATATAAGATATATGGCCTAAGGGATGGGGCCCCGTATGAGCTAGTTCCAGGCGAGCTGCTTTGAACTAAGGTACGGTTCCAACGGTTCTGGGTGATGAAGTATGGGGGTGAATGTCTGAAATTGTCAATTGCGTGGACTAATGCTTATGAGGTTGCTGCTGGATTGGTGACTCGACTTGTTTCCCCTGCATTAACAATAGCTTCACCCAAGCTGCTTTACCTCAGGCTACGAGTGTGCTGACCAAAGAGGAACGACAAGCTGGAACAAGCCTTACTACCACCCGTCACTGGCCTGCATACATGCATTTACGTGGGCTTTGGGCTATATGACTAGGAGCTCTCTGTAGGCCGCTATCAAGATTCAGCTGGTCAAGCACGATTCCAGGGCACTGCGGAACTCAAGCGCAGCTCGACGCTAGGCTATCATATAATGTAATTGCCACCTATGGTTTAAATCTTGCAAGCACGAGTAACCCAGCCGAGGGCCTACCCCGAAGGCTTCGCGAAACGAGTCTTCGACCTGCACCAGGAGCATGGGATGAAGGCTCGTACAACTTTGCGACAAAAAGTCCCCGTTGATGCGACGTTTACAGACCAGCAGTTGTTCCAACAGCTGCCTTTAGGGGACAAGTGGAATGATGCCCGCTTGGTAGAGCTGTTTTTCTACCTGCTCCAAAGCCGAAGCCTATCAATTCCTGATTGTTGGCTACAAACGATGATGGAGTTCAAGCGAGATCTGGAAGCCTTTGAACATCAGCTGCACTTTAACCATCTTAGTGTTGGTTGTGTGCAGGTCACATCTAGCTACCCAATTCTACAATATTCTACATGTCCCTGACATTAGGTCATTACAGAGGATGATTTGCAGGCAATGTCGCTCGAGAGGCTTGGCCAAATAAGCCATGCATGCTTTGTCAAAGAACCCTTAAACCCAACCCAGGTACCAGCCTATATATACATAATGAGAGCCCCGGAAAACACTAATTCATAACCATTAGGGCAAGCTGCAATGGATCAATTTTGTTTCCCCGTACCAATCACCTGACCACCAACACAATTAAGGGCAAGATCCGAATGGTGTGTCCATGAATTAAAGAAACACCTCAACCCTAGGTCATATACCAGAAAGGGGGCCTCTAGTCCTGGGCGCATGTCCCTCAGGTATCAATTCCTTTGTAGGACAAATTAGTCTTTGGGGGGTAATCCTGAATCCTGATCGCCTTGTTTTTTCTGAATTAATCTCTAGAAACACAAAAATTCACGACCATTTTTACCCGCAAAACCGCCGCAAATTGCACGCAAAACCGCCGCAAATTGCACGCAAACACCCGCAAATCAGGATTTCTGGTTTTTTGCCATTTTCAGAATTTCATGTTTCGGCTTGTTTCCAATGCTTTTATCCAAGGAGCTGATCTGGAATATGATCCGGGCTGCACCAATTAGCTGTTTGGACTGGCTACAAGATATTGGCCTCCATGCTTGCAGTTGCTACAATTCGTGACTTCCGGAGCTGCTACCTCAAAATTATCTGCTGATCTAGTTGATCTAACTAGATGGCGGCTTGTGTTCCAATGGTACGTGATCAGGTTGTTTCATACTTTCTGCTTGCGCGGCATTCATGGTTCCAGGTATGTATGGGAAGGAAACCTTGCGAGGTTGCCCCACTTTCTTGGCAGGTGTGGGCTTGATGGAAGCTCAGCAAGTAGGCAGTGGAATGGATCCTGCAATTCTTGCAGCGCAAATCACAGTATCCTTCCTCAAAGCAGTCTCTGCAATGCCATTCTAGCTGGAAGCAATTATTAATAGATTGCCGAGTAGCCCCCTAATCCCCTCAAACATCCCAGGCAGCCAAAGCACGGATTCAAGAGCTTCAAGCTGAGCTCGGAGCTGAGTGTGGTTTGGCCTCTCCGGCTTCGACTCCTGGGAATCCAGGACGGTTTAGGGCTTAGGGCTTAGGGTTTATAAGCTAGGGTATAAGGGTTTCAGGGTTTGTATAATATTTTATATCTATATATAGATATAGCTAGAGGGCTGTATTTATAGGGTTTGGGGTTTAAGGTTTAGGGCTAGTAGGTATATTCTAAAAGCCTCCAAACACAGGCCTTTCTGGTCCTTCTGTTGTTGACATGGGCTAGGGCTTTATGTTGGATGTGGGGATGATCCCATGGGTGGAAATATGTAATGCAAGATAACACTTAAAGCCCCTCTATCCTATAGATGCAAATCCTTGTAGAGGAGCCACTACAATGCACTTCGCAAAGCAGGCCGGGCAATTTATGCCAGGCTTTGGAACGTCAAGGCCTACGGCCTCAGGTATGGCAAGCACTTTGAGGCTAGGGTCCCAAAACAGCTTTGACTCGATTGCTGCAGAAGCGGGAGAAGGGACTAGAAGCCCAGCAGCAGCAGCAGCAGCGGCAGCAACAGGACACCCCGGTAAAGCAGCAACAGGACACCCCGGTGAAGCAGCAACAGGACACCCCAGTGAAGCAGCAGCAGGGCACCCCAGTGAAGCAGCGACAGGACATGAGCAGCAGCAGGACACCCCAGTGAAGCAGCGACAGGACACCCCAGTTAAGCAGCAGCAGGACACCCCAGTGAAGCAGCAACAGGTCACCCCAGTGAAGCAGTAGTAACAGCCATGCGGGAACAAGTGCCGTCCGTGGAGACAACGCCAGGAACGGGACAGTTAACCCCGATGTCAGAAGGGTTCACGCCTCCAATGGCAAAACCAGTTCCATCTGGGCTTAGCTTTGACAGATGTGAACAGTCCCCTACTACCACGTCAGCTTCTCCCAGGTGCCTTGACTTGCACGTACTATAAGCTACCTTGCGTGACCATGGTGTAGCTTGTGGGGTCTTTGGCCTAAATAGCTAAGGCCAATCACTGTCGCCCAACGGTGGTTGGCCACATGACAGGCAGCCTGATGACAGCCAGCTCATGACACAGATGGCATCCCCGTCCCCTGTTTCATTGCCCCCAGCAGCAACGGAAACACTTACAGAGCACCAAGTCAAGCCGCTCACTGCAAGCCCGGCCGAAGAACCCAGCGGAAGCCCAGTACCCCCAAGCTCTGCAGCCCAGGCATTCGCCCGAAGCACAGCCCAGCACCCACCGGAAGCCCGGCCAAAGTAAGCCTCAAGCAACGCAGCCCAGCCAAACTGCCCAAGACTGCCAGCCCAGCCAAACTTTCCAGCCCCGCAAGCTCTGAGAAAGAGCCAATTAATCCTTTCACACGCAAAGCCCACACCAAGCCGCCTGGGTCCTCCTCCAGCCAGTACACTGATGGGACATACTGGAAGAGTCTCAGCTACAGGGTTTAGGGTTTATAGGGTTTCTAGTTTATATAGGGCGCATGCATATATATATAATATAATATATATATATATTGCTTCATGAGGGTTTAGGGTTTAAGGTTTCTGGGGTTTATAGTGTTAAATTAGATTTATACGGAGGACCCAATAATATCCAAGGATGCGGCGCTACTTTCAACCGAGCTCCAAGGGTGTGATCACGGCAAGCAAGGCGGCTGTGGAGCTCAACTCTACCAGCAAAGGAAGCCCCCAGCATCAATTAGAGTGTACCCTAACCCCTACACTACATACACCCTAGCTGTAGTTATAATCTAAGGAGAGAAGCTTCGTGAACTCCTTCTGAAGCACGGATCTTTCTCGGAAGTTGAGATTGAGCTGCAGCGTTACAAAACAGAGGAAGAACAGACTAAGTTGGAAGGTGGCTGGCACACCGTTGTCAGTTTGCAGGCTGAAAACTGGACTGAGCTTCTGGGTTGCAATACTACTTGAGCTCATGCTTGTAAAACCTAGAGCTTTCATGCAGCTCATATCTGACACTGCTTGCAGGGAGATGATAAAGAACAGCAGGAAGTGGGCGATGGCAAGGAATCTTCTCAGGAAGAACGAGGTACATGGTGCTGAGGAGTGGCGTATCCCCACCAAAGCAAGCTTCCAGCATACTGCTACAACGGGGCAGTCTTCGACTTTCAAAGGATCAATGGCTCTGGAGGAGATAATATGGGTCTATTCAGACTTGCTGTGTACAAGTAGCCAGTGGTGGAATTTTAGATACGCATGTGAAAATTGTAGGACCCTACTGGAGAAGCTTTGCTGTCGTCGGCGGTTGATGAGGATGAACTTGTGCAGCCACTTGGACAATTAAATATTCCTTGAGCAACCTAATTAAGCTTACCCCAACCAGCTGAGGCGAGGAGGCACAGTGGATGCCAGGGCGATGCAGGTTACGGCTACTGCTGCTACGGCGTCTGGGTCTGGGAAAAATCAGTTGCAGCTGCCCGTTATCCAGGCGAACTCGGATCCTGTTAGTCGCCCTACTGCATGTATATTCGACATACCGAATGGAATAGTCCCTGAACCTTAATTGTTTGACTTCTTAAGGTCTTCTGCCTAACTATGTGGATGTGGTTGGCAAAAAGCTGGACAAGTGTGCAGAAGCCCAGGATTTCTTCTCTGCATGATGTTGTGGTTTTCTGGGAACTAGCTGAGGGTTAAAGGGGGCTACTGCTTGCAGGAAAGACTGCAAGAGCTTGGCTTGGACCGTTCGTTAAGGCGCTGGGAGGGTTGGGTCCAGCTAGTATAGCAACGCCATAATATCATCGATATATCGGGCCCGATAGTAGCTAGCTGATCCATACTCTATAGGCTCCATGGTCCAAAATACACGTTTAGGGTTTAAGGCTTAGCTAGGGTACAGGGTTTATAGGGTATATAGGGTTTATAGGGTAGGGTATCTATAGGATAGGATATAATTGTTCAACCTCTAAGCCTGAACTCCAATCCCAAAGGTATCTCTTACGAGCCCAACCCAGTCCCCTTTGCATTACTATAGTTTCTGCAGGCTAGCTACTGAGATGCAGACCTCGATCGACAAGTACCAGAAACTCTATGAGGACCTGCTTGAGATCCAAACGAACGTTGTAGATCACCCTTCAGTGTCAAAGCCTCAATACTAGTTGCACTCTGTTCTCCTCGAG